TAACAATAAAACCATCATGTAAGCCTTTGTAAGATGATATCAGGAGGGCTGCATGTCTCAGAGAACATCTAGGAACAGCACCAGGATTCTGACCCCAAAGAAAACACCACCAAGATTCCGAGTCTGGTGTAAGCAGGATTTTCCTCTGGTCTTTAGTGGTTCAAGCCTGGTTGAAGCACTTCCCCAAAGCAAGAAAAGGAAAAGCACAGACAGGACACTGCCTGAGGCAGAGCAAGGGTTACAGCAGCAGGAATTCCTGATTACCTGAGTGCCTGGGCTTATCCCAGCGCTCCTCCTGAGGTTTTTGCAATCTCGTGTTACACTTGCCTGGCACACGAGTTTTTAGTGGGAATTTGGAAGAGGAGGGATTGYGAGCTGGTGAAAAGAAATTGGAAGGCTGTGGTGGGAGGGGTGGGAGATGGTGGTGCTGAATATGCCCAATAGCACAGTTCTGCACTGTCTGCCTTGTGCAGCCCAGCATTTATTCCCTAGCAACCCAAAGGCAAGGGAAAAACTCTTCCACTGCACTGGACCACAGCTCCCTTTGGTTTCCCAAAGCCAACAGCCTGACTCCACTGCCCTGCAGAGCCACAAGCGACAGAAATTTGCAGTGCTGTGAGGTCCCTTCCTTTTCCAAACACCAAATCAACTCAATGGCATTTCTTTCAGGGACATTTTAACCTCCAGTSTGTTCATTTTAATGTATTAAACTCTGTTTGGTTTTGGTCCGAAGGACAGTCCCAGCAAGGCTTTTGCTAAAGCCAGGCACTGCTGCTCTAATGAATTGTTTTAAGCAGCAGGTATTTCTATTTATTCTGGCATCAAATAAAAACCCGCCCTGGAATATACAGAAACATTCAACATGAACCACTATGGAAAATGTTTTTAATGTGAGAATTCCTTTTCCACTCCAAGCAAACCAGCCAGTGTTTTCCCTTTCCTCGGGGATGAATTCTCTGTTGTGACACTGGTGGGGGACTGGAATCAGTAGGACACAGGGAGGGAGATTAAWATGAACAGGACACAGAACAGGCAGGATGAGCAGGATTGTCTCCTGCTGTGGACAGCCCACCCAGGGGTGGCAGACAGCCAAGGAAAAGGTAAAAATGTGCAGTCCTTTATTCAGGTGTTTTACACGGAATTTAAAAAGCCAGCTTGGAGACACAGAGCACAGCCCCTTGTTTGCCAAACCTGGGCATATTTTGACAAGCTTTACTGCGATAAAGAGCCAGGAGATGGGAATGTGTTTCTCAAAACACTGATTCACTTGTGGAAAGAGTCTGGAAAAGGGTGTTTCTCACTCACCTCCACTCTGTGCTYGCTTTTCTCCAGGCAGCTATTCCTCCAGCTCAGCCTGCCCCTCTGCACTGCACACACTCACTCTGCTTTCTTTTCCCCCACATCAAGCCACAGAGGAGCACATGTGACTRCAGCAGAGGTAAAGTCATTTTTAACCAGGGCAATTTAAGGATATTTAAGACACATTCTCATTTTCCATTTCCCAATTCCACACTGCCCCCACCTTTATTATTAGCTGAATCCAGGGAAGCTTCAGCTTGGATCTGGGGTAACATGTACACTGAGGAACGAAGGCCAAGCTTTGCCTTGAAATATGCAGGATCATTCCTAACTAACCGTAAAGCTGCTTATTTGGCACCAACAGTGGAAATATTGAACGAAAGGGGCATTCTCAATCTGCTTATGTCACAGAAAGGTTGGATTCTGACAGCGTGCAAGGCTCCAAGCTGCAGCCTGATATTAATAGCGAGACATTAAACTCGCAATTTGGCTGGCTCGCAGGCAGCTCTGCTGGAACACAGATTTTTCTGCAGGAAACGGCAGCTCTGGTTGGAGTCACAGCACGAGGGATGAGCCCGAAGCAGACTCTGGAATTGTGGCTGCTGTGTGGAGAGGCTGTGTCACAAAGAGACCCTTCCTGCTCACACTGCACAGTGTAAGGAAGGTCCTGCAGCAGAGGCTGTTGGAACACSAGTGTTCCTCACAGGAATATCATTTTCCTTCTGTCCTTTGGAATTCCTCTATTCCCAGGCCTAACTGACCTAGCCAAGCAGGGCAATGAACATTAACAAACTATTTCTTACCTCACTGGCTGCACCACAGAACAGAACCACRTTTGTGTATCACCCACCAAGACATACCTACACATTTTCCCCATTTTTGAGCTTGTTTCAGCCATTATGTAACCTTCCACACTACCCTGGCAGCTGGGCCAAGAAAATTTGAACCAAGTCCCCAAAGCAACTGGTTTCAGTGAGGGGCCCCTGCCAGAATACAAACACAAACCTCCTGCTGCTGTTTTCTCGCTGTGTCTGCATGGCAGGCAAAGATTCCAGGCAGGTTTTTCAATATGGATCTTTYAGAGCACAAATGAACACCTCTTATGAGCCATTTAAACTTTGTAATCCCACTTCCGAACGACAGCTGGGCCTCAATGCTTCCACCAGGGAAAGTTCTGCTTCCTTGTTTCTTACAATGTAAAGAAAATCAAGGCACTGCCATGAAAACAGCATTACCTACAGCACTGAGTCCTCTGATTTTGGTACACATAATCCAACAGATTCCTTACAGTCTCTCCAACATGACTAAGCAACATGAGATTCTGGACTTGCATTGCATCACAGCCCCAAGAGCACCACACTCTTTACAGGAGACCTCCCTAAGCCGTGCAATCTCCTGTAGCTTTGCACTCCAAATCCTCTCTTCTCAGAGGTAGACAGAARCATTCAGAATGCAAGTGACTTGCCAAATGTCACACAGTGAGTCAGTGCCAGAGCTGGGAATAGAAATCAGGAGTCTGAGAGTCCAGATCCKCTGCCTTATATAGAGCAGCAGCCTCAGTCTCCTGGTTTGGGAGAGCGGCTGGGATGGTAGCACTGGCATTGCAAGGGCCAACTTTGGCCATAAAGCAGCTATAAAACCACCCATGCATCTGCTGAGACCATGYTCTCCATCTGCTTAAGTGCAAAGCAAGAAATGAAAGGCAGCTGCTGTTGCAGAGAACTTTGAGGAGTGCAAAAATCTCAGCATCACCCCCAAGACCAAACACAACATCGCTTGCTGGACCCACCTCTTGCTTCCACAGGCAGTCCTGCTGATTTGGAGAGGAGTGTCTGGGAGCTGGAGTGAGAAACAGGAATCTGACAACAGCAGGGATGGTTGAAACACCAAGACAAATCTTCAAAAGCCAGTACAGAGGATCAGTGGGCATCTGCTCGCCCCGAATGTTGTACTCATGTTAAACCCAAGTAAAAGTTGCTGCTTGTATCACCCAGGTATGTGCACAGGGCAGGGAATGGTGGCTATCAAAAACCTGTTTCTCTACAACTGACAGCTTTTCTTCTGTATTCTGGCAAAGCAGGAAGATTGGAGAATCTGCGTGTTTAAAAATTAGCACTTCCAACGCTAACCACTTTCTCAAACCAGCTGCTTGTCACAAAAGAACATTCATTAATTTATTCTTCCTCTGCCATGTAAAASTGTAAATGGGACAACAAGGCCAAATGGGGCACAGAAAATGCACAAGTGAAGATCCGAGTGCTTTCTTTACTGCCACATAATCAAATTGTCAGGGGAGAAGGCAGGAAAAGCAGGATTGAAGAGAGCAAAGAGGCCAGACTGGTTTTGTCCCAGGAACATTCAACTTCTAAATATCTTGGAAAACTATGCTGGAAAGAGTAACAAGCGAGTTTAATCTTCATTGCTGTGATCTTCTACTTTCTCCACTGYAGCCACAGCCTGCAGCAAGCTGCAGCACAAGAAATAACTTGGGTATTGTAAGAACWGAAGTCATAAAAATATTTCCTTAGTCATGCTGTCTCTGGTAATATAATTCCCTGAATAGAGATCTTCAACAGTACTCTCTTTAAATATGGAAAGAGCTCTGACTTTAGTCAGCATGTGTCTTCCATCAGCTTCTCTCTCTCTTTTTAAACTTCTTTACTGTATGTTACCACAGCCATCTCCAGGTGCAGGTAGACAGTGTAAAAACCTTCCCCAGTGGAAGTGCATTTTCCATTGGACACAGAATAAACACATTGTGAGGGATTCCAAATGGAAAAAACTTGGACAGAGAGGCCAGTCCTTGCTGATGTGTCTGTATCCTTCAGCTCTGTATTTGCCCCTTTCTCCTGATCCCYACCCCACAGAGAGGGAGGAACTGCACTCCAAGATGAGCCTTCACTGTCAAAACAACCCCTGCAAGTGTCTCCCTGAACACTGGAGAACACRTCAGAACAGCTGAAAATCAGGATCCATCCCAAGTTCACACAGAATGGGGGATAAGGGGCCACTTGACTTTGAGGCAARTCTAAAAAAAATCATGCCATCATCACAGAGAGGATGTTGGGCTGTGCCTCCAAACACTGCTGCTACTGTGGGGATTGAAAAAAAACAACCCAAGAGGACACAGTGAAGGTTACTGCCACCTGAGTGAAATAAATAAACAAAGTATTTAATGTATGGGATGTAAGGACCCTGTGTATGCAGGCTTTGGATACGATTAAAGGCAGTTAGGAAGTAGGAGGAGCAGGAGGCTGAAAAGAAGATTTAACTTGGCTTTCCTACAATAAGGTATTCTTCTCCAGTGTCTGAGTGCCAGCTTGATCTGGGAATGTCACACAGGTTCTTACAATGGGAAATACACTCCTTAGTTAGCAAATTCTTGTTGGAGGTGCGAGAGAACTGAAAGGAACATTATACAGACACAGCAAGAGGCAGTTTCTTCTGCATCCACYCCAAAGATGCAGAAATACTAAAGAATAACTCCTGAACTCTGAGACTTCCAGGGCTTAGAAGGGGTTAAAAYATAATGACTTATTCATAGTTCATACCCTGCTCAGCTAATCCATATTTGCATCACAGAGGTACACAGAACAGCAAAACCAACATTACAGCAAACCAAAGAATGAGAGATTGCCCAGAACACTCCTCTCAGCATAGAGGTGGCGATCAAAACACCCTCCCCTGCTCCTTGCACTTACCCACAGTGTCACAAGGCTCGTCTTTGTGCACGCAGAAATCTGTCCTAGAAAGAAAAACACAACAGAAGTGAAATGTATCCTGTGCCTCCAGCCTGCAGTCTGGGAAAAAGCAGCAGTGCATGACTCACATATCATGGGTGTTGAGGGCTGYGGATTTTTTAAGGCTGCTGTGCAGTCTACACAATGACAACACAGATAGCAGCACTGATTGCTACTGAGATTACAAGAATTAAGTGAATCAGCCCCATATCCCACAGTCCAACTTAACAGAGTTAAGATTTAGCATCACCTGCCTCGTTCTGTGATGTCACACTTATCCCACAAGTGGATTAAAACTGAAACTCTTCTTTTCATGAGAGAATTGTGACCAAAAGGAACAACAGCACCATAAAAGATGGTGGGAGTGGGGGATGTGTGCGGCATGGCCTGAAGGCACAGAAATAAAGATGTGTACCCAGAAATTCTCAATTCTTCAATTTTTTCTTCATTCACTAGAATGGAACAAGAAAGAAGCAGGACTAAACAGAGAAAGWTGCTGATATGGAAGAAAATTTCATTATTTGCCAGGTAAATTGGCTTCAGCTAAACTTATTACAGCCAGATTTGCCATTTTATGGGTTGAATCCAACATGGAGAGGTTCAAGAGACTTCATTTGGTTCCCCACATCTCATCAAGGCAGAAGATGCTACTGATGCCAGTGGCCCCCACAAATCAACGAGGGATCCACGGAACTGCATTAAACAGAAACAAAATAAAAGCCTTGAAGCTCCCCATCAAAGCACTGACACTTCATGTGAGAAGACTGTGAACATGAGATTCCTCATAACTGAAAAACAAGAGGAGGGCAAGTGTTTTATAACTAAATTAATAGCTTGAATACATTTCAATAAGCACTCAGAMCTAAGCTTTTAGGACCTCTCTTCACCAGGGCTGCTTTGCAGTGTAATCCACTATGAAGAGGAGCTGGAGAAAAGCATCACATGTGCTAAAACATTTCAGAAGTTCCTCAAGCCAAGGGAAGCTGAGGAGCTGTAGTCTCTATCCCTGTGGCTTTTATCACCCTGTAAGGAGGCAAGAAAATCCTATCASTACATTTGGAGTGGGCCATTTGAAATGCCTGAGTCCCCATGGGATTTGGAATTTAAGAGTTTGGCAGGAGGAAGATCAAAAATATCTAGAAAAAGATAAATACTTAGAAAAAGAAAATATTTAAGAGAAATATAAAAATAGATAAATATTAAAAGTGYTCTTTCCTTGAAGAAAGTTATGAAACTAGGGTTTATAGGAAAAAGGATTTAAGGCTGATGTATCCAGACCCTCCACACCAAACTCCTTTGAAAGGCACAAATCAAGCTGTCAAGGGCTTGGAAGGAGAGCACAAACAGCCATTACCAGCTCTTGTTAAGCAGACATTGAAAACCAACCACGCTTCAGTGCAGAAAAACCATAACAACCATCAAAGTGTTAAAAAAATCAGACAGGAACCAAACAAAAATCGGAAGCTTCGACCACACACCAGCCCCAGCCTTCATTTTTCACAGCAGCCCAAGTGTGTCTCGACACCTTGGCATTGCAGCTTTTCCAAGGAAGACTAATGACAGTCTCCTGACGGAGCTGGCACCAGCACGCCTGCTCCACTTACCAGAGCCAACTTGACAGAGGTTTATTTAAGGACTTATTATGTTATATAAACTGGTAAATCAAACAGATGCTTTTCTTGTGACAACAGATAGCTGAACTATTAGTGGATGGCAGGAGGCCACAGCTAGAAAAGCCTCTCTGTTTTTCTCTCTCTCAGAGCGTGTCCAGCCCTGTAAATAACRCACAGAAATTCTGCTCCTCGCACTGTCCCACACTGAAATGTGTCTGGCACTTTCTGGCAGCTCCATGGAGGAATTACCCCCATGCCATTAAATGAGGGGTCTGTAAATGACCCATCACAACTTGCAGACTCTGCCACAGAGGCAGAACAGCCCCTGTCTCTGAAAGGAGTGCTGTGGTGCTGTTTGCTCAGGGAAGGGCTTCAAGCACCTCAGCAGCAGAACTGAACATCACTGGCAATTCAAGTGTGAAATCTCAGTCCATCCTTAAAGCTGCCAGAAACACAAGTCCAAGAGATTCCATCCTTCTACTGAATATACATATGAAAATACATATGAAAATGCCAGGTTTTAATCATCTGGACCATTGCAAATATTTCACCCCAAAACTCTGTGGCCAAACAGAAGAGCACAAATGAGCTTGGTGGGTCTCAGTTTGCTTCCAAAGGCAARGAGACACCTCATCACAAAGCCAGTTACTGAAGTTTCCACAGTCCTGGAGAGACACAGCCTGGAAAGGTGTTGAGAGGGATCTGTCTCACCTGTGGCTCACTCCCAGCAGGGATTTAAATGGCCCCATCCTGGCACTTCAAACTGATCTGCCTTCAAAAAGGTTTAAAATCACAGGTRTCTCTCTGGCACATTTTTCACCTCAATTGCATCCATATTTTTGAAGTGAAAGCTTGACATGACTGATCTTATAATGATACTCAACAATACAGAAAAGGTATTTTAATATTCATGGCACGTGAAAAGGTCTCTTATCACAGAGAYGTAGCTCTGTTGGCAGAATTTTTTACAGAGCTATGCTGGAATAAAACGCTTYCTCGAGGTCCTGCAGTTCAGATCCAACATCTGACCTTACCACACGAGGTCTTGGATAATTTATTGAAATCACAGCTCTTGCTCTGAACCAGTTTTACTCTTCACTTTTAGCCACTGATTGAATCAACCAGGACATGWGTTCTCACCTTGGGACCTGTGAAATTTCCACTTATTATCATCTGTGTACCCAGCAGAGGGTTTCCATTAGCAGAGTACAACAATTCTCAAAAGAATGACAACAAATCAGTTGTTTTGGTCAATAAAAGTAGCCAGAAGAGCTCAGAAYTCCTCCTACAGTCACTCTTTCATCTGGCTCCCACCAACTGGAAAAAAATACCTAACTGTGCTTAGCTAAATTCTGCAATTCAAGTCCTTCCTGTGAGAAAGAAGGACAGTAGCTGAACTGTGCAACAGGAATAACAAGTATTCTGTTAAATGGCCATTCCCAGCATCCTTCAAATGACATCTTTTGATCAGTCTAACCTTGCAGGGTCATAAAGCTAAAGGGCAGAGAAAACTGGTACAGCCCAAAACCTGCCAAAATCAACTTTCCACATCCATAGGTACATTTAGTAGCACTATGTGCCCSGTTTCCTCCATTTGACCATTTAATGGGAAGGCAAAAGGCTGGAGAAATGTGGAAGGGAGGAACAGGCTGAAAATGGAACAACTACACCACTGTGTCACGAAAAAACAAATCTTTGCTTACAGACAGTTCTGAATCCTGTTCCTGTCAGWGTTGTGGCATTCTTTGCTCTGCTGTCACAACACCTGCAGTCTAAAAGGTGACCCAAACACCTCCAACCAGCAGCAGGGACATCAGTGTGCATGAAGACTTCCCAGGAAAAGCAAAAGACAGAGGGATCAAGCGAGGGAATGTGTTTCAAATGAGACACGCTTCTAAAATCACAAAGATACAGATTATGCAGACAAGTTATTCTGGTTAGGTGCCTGTTAAAATATGAAGTACWTTATCCAAAGATGCCAGAGATCTGAATTTCTGCAAGTTCAAAACCAGAATCTGAATGAGAAAACTCTGATGATTACAGACCACAACACTACACTCAGMCCTTTAGGGCTGTGACAGATGATTCCCACAATTATTATTGTTATTCTCATTTGTTTACTGAGCTGGACAACAGTGCATCTTATTTCACAGGCACAGTTTGTCTCTTACCTGAAACTCAAGTGGATACCATTAAAATCCCACAGGAGGGATATTTGCCACCTAAGGAATCCACTTTTGCACACAAATGAGGATATGGGGAACATCATTTAGAGGTGAAGTTTCAAAAGGCAAGAGTGCCTTGGTGCTTCAAATGAGCCCAGCCAGACTGGAACCAGAGGGATTTCTTCAGAGCTTGACCCCAAAGAATCTGTTTCTAGTCCTTAAAGCAGCTGCAGCTGCTGAAAATTCAGCTTCTGCTTTTTCTGGCGCAATTGTTTGTGCTGGACATGCTGTTGCTCCCACATCCTCGACCACTGGTCCATCTGCACAGTCTGGGGAGGGTCCAGACACACACACACACACACACACACACACACACACACACACACTTCCAAAGCCAAGAGGAGAAAAATTCATTTCCCTGACACAGAAATGGGCTGCTGAGCCAGAAGGTTTGCAAACAACACGACACCCTCCATGTGGCACAAGCAGGATGGGCTAAGGATGACAGGACACAGCAAGGAGGAGGAAGGAAAGACTCCAAGTACACACTGCTGGCCTCTCCAGCAGGAAAAACACTGCTACAATGCACAGCCACGTGCTCCCTGGCCTGAACTTTCTCACCAAAGCTGAATCTAGTTTCTAACCCAACCAAACCTCTGCTTTCCCAGCCATTCCGACAGCAAAACCGTTGCAAATCCGTTGAGCAACTCCTCCTACAAATTCYTCCTCCAGTCCTTCCTCAGATGCCTGAGTCCAGCTCATTTAGGCTGACATTATGCATTCAATTTTGAAAGCTGCAGAGATGAAATGCTCTGCTCATTCCCCCCGCCCCGTGCTCAGAGCCCATCAGAAGAGATTCTCTCTGCCTCACTTGTCATGCAGGACAACTGGATGCCCAGATGAGTTTAACAAAAATGTTAGTTATTTATTTAGGCCCTGGTCCAGCAGAGCACATGCTTAACTATAACCAGGATGTGCAGCCCGTTGACTTCAAAAGAACTCTTCCCCCTGTCTAAACTGTTCAGTATCTGCACAAGTGCCTGGTGGGCTCCAGTGAATACAGAGAGAGAGAAGGGTTTGGGAACTGCACACAGGGCTGTGGAGGAGCTTCCTTAGCAGCTTTGCTGGCCTCGTGCCCTGCTCATCGATTCTCTCACTGAACATCACCAGAACCCATGGAGAGTGTGCAATGGGGTTGTTAACACAAATCCAACACAAGAGATTGTTATAATCAGGAYGGCAGTTTACATAAAAATGTGTATCTCTACTTACATTGTTGGCAGAGAAAATAGGTGAAAGAAGTGAGTAATATTGAATTGCAATGCAGACATTTCCTGTCTCAAATTGGGGGGTAGGAAGCAGTGCTTTTCTAGGCCCATGAGCATCCATATGACACCATAATTTTGTGCTCACTTTAAGTATTCAGARATCACTTCTGTAACAGTGAATATTTAATTTACATCTTAAAGACCTTAAAACATCATGGATTTGCCCCTCAAAATTTGTGGTAACTGTGGGGAACATGGGACTTAGATTGTATTGTGAGGTTGAGCTCAGGTAGCTGGAAGAATAAAGACTGTTGTCCCTACAACATCCTTCTTCTTGCTTTATCTGATGTGTTTGACACATCAGTAAGTTCAGAACTCCGAGGTGCAAAGAATTTTGCTCAAGTATTTCACAAAGATTGATTTCACATCTGAAATAAATGGAGGAGTTTTCAAAYACWCAAATCAGCAATGACACCCCTCCTSTCAGTTGTGATAGAGGAAGGATGTTAAAGTGGTTATCTCCTCAGGCAAAGAGAGAGAAAATTAATTTAGTTTATGGTATTTCTCTCCCCCTTTTTTAGGAGATAACTCCCTCCCCACTGTCTGCTCCTCTCAGACTGCCTGGTTGATTCATCCCTAATTGCACCCAGAGCAACTGAGCTCAGCTGTGCTCCCAGTTCCACACCTTCTTTTTTTTCTGGGAAGAAGGGCTCATGCTGCAAAACCTCACCAGTTTTTTCCACTCCTACCAGAACAGTGAGCACAACTGAGACACTTTGGCTCAAGGGAAGAGATGCTTTTGCACAACCTTGTTAAGAATGCACAGAAGCAAGAAAGATCACTTTCATCTGAGGCAACAGCAAATGTGTCATCTTTTTCCTTAAGATTTCTGCTTGACCAGATAACCCCATCATTATTCACCATTGGCTGAATAAATGGATAAAAGAGACCTTCCCATACCTGGTCACAAAAACAGCAGCATCCACAGGAGGGGTGTCATCCCTGGCACCAGGAACCTGGTTGTTGCCAAGGTATTTTGCCCCACCATATTCTTCATTTTGCCACTGACAGAAGCTCTCCAGAGATCTCTCTCCATGATGCCCGATGGACAACTTTGCCTTTGGGGGGGGAAAAAAGGACACAAAAGGAGAAACATCAGCTATCAGAAATATCTATCCTTTTAGATAAAGCATCAGGCCTCTCTGGAGCATTTAATTCCTGWGACAGCTACAAGGAGACAGAGATTTACCAGGAAGGATAAATAAAAGGATTGTAGCTCCTTTCACTCCCACAGCCCCTTTAATGCTGCCTGGTGAAGTGTAACAGGCAACTCCTCAAAACTGGTGTTTCTGAAGCCAGACTTGCCCACATCCTCCTCCCTCCCAATGGGACACCAAAATGCAATTCCAGGAGCAGGGGAGAAAGGGTTTGGAACTCACAGGACGACTGTGGAGCAGGACTAGTTTAGTCACTCGAATGTTGACTTTAATTCCAAGGCTTTGGTGTTGGAACATGTTGTACACCTGTCAGAAAGCAAAGAAAATATCCACAGTGTAGTACTAGCAATACTAAGACCTAGTAATAGTTGAAGAAACTAACTGTGACCAGAGTTAGACACTTGTCCTACTAAAAATTGACACAAAAAACTCCCCCAAATGGACTGTGCTACTCCACTCAATAAAATGAAGAATTTTTAAGACTTACTGTGGAAAGCAGAAAAATATTCCAAAGGAACTCTAAAGCTAAAGTCTCAGGAACATGGACATACGTTGTGAAGCATCCAACTAACATGGATCTTCAGCATTTAAATATCAGAGATATCTGAATGCAAGATGAAATAATGGTGTGTTTTAGACTTCAGGAAATAGAATGGAAAAGCAATTTCCCTCTGTTATTTTCATATCTTATATAAGAGAATAGTAATAAGGCAGCACATAATGACACAAGCCTCAGGAAATACAAAAATAGCACCGGAAACTACCTTACTACTTTCTCCAGATTTTGCATTCCAGCTCAGATACTTCACCTCATTTTTATAGGTTAGAATATAAGATCTTAATTGACGCCAGAATTTTATTCCACCCATTTCTCTGCGTACAAATGTTTTAACTAAACTGTATCAAAAAGGATGAGGGAATGGTTTATTTTAAAAAGGTGTAAAACACCGCATAAAAGGCCTTGGGTGAATATTGTATTCCCTATTTCACTGAAAAACCCAAATCAAGGCCACTGAAGAGAGACTCCTGACAAATGGGAGGCAGGTTTGGCCCCAGGTAAGCAATATTCCTTCCTCACAGCTCGTTTTGGCTACAGCCATCAYCCAGGCTCAGCTCACTTCCTACAGCAAACCCCAGGCACGAGCACATCTTGCACATTATGTTTTCAACGCTYGGTATTTTTCCTATTTGTGCAAATACTCAGGAATGTGCTCAGTGGAAGAGCACTCTGAAGCTCTCCAGTGTTTGGGGTCGGATTTGAGCACACACGTAAATGTTTCCTACAATTTAGKCACAGATTGCAAGACAGAGCTACTCAGTGTTTGACCCAGTGACCTTCAGCTGAGCACAATGAGCCATTTATCTTCCCTGGGGCCGGTGTACAAGTGCACACAAGGGCTGGCACTATTTGCTCAGCCTGGGGATGTGTTGGTAGAGCAGCTCAGGCCTCTCACTGCAGACCTGGGGGGGATAAACTTGACTCTTGCAGAGAAGGGCTCTGACAGATGACCCCTGTGTGAGTAAAAACCTGCACGTTCAGCTGGGAGGGTCACTGGGGCACCAGGAGGGAGTGAACCCCTGCTGCACCAGGGCAGGGGCTGGCAAACACTTCCCAGGGTGGGTGGGTGGATGGATGGATGGATGGATGGATGGATGGATGGATGGATGGATGGATGGATGGATGGATGGATGGATGGATGGA